ACTAGGGCTGGTGCTGCTCATGTGCTACTGTTTCCAGATCAAGGTACTCTCAAGTGGTTTCAGTTGGGTGGTCACTGAATTTCTCCTGGGTTCAAAGTGGGGTTGGCACTAACAGCGTGGAAGGAGGTTGAGTCTTGGGCCCTGTCCATGGTTCAGCTTAGTATACTGCCTTTGCCAGTCAAACTAGATGTAACTTTCTATCGCAGGGGTGGGTAATTATTTCAGCTGGAGGGCTGCTTAATGAATTTTGGTGAGCTGTTGAGGAACTCAAGGGTAGCTTTCCCCCTCAACAAGTAACCTGGCCCCTGGTTGCCATCTTGGGACCAGAAGTCCCACACTTAACCCCAGACCTTTGTCACTGGAAGCCCCTCTCCTTTCCCCTCTAAAGTCCTTTTGGGAGAGGGGTTGCCATCTTGAAACCAGAAAAAAACCAAAACATACTCAAATATCTACTATAACATATTTTAATTTTATTTCAAAAATATTTTGCCCTGATTTATGCGTGTTTGCATAGTTATATAGAGGTGATTGCATACTAGCTCAAAGATAATGTCTTACTCTTGTATATTGTGTGTGGGGGGTGGGTGTATGTTTGGGATTTGTGAAGGGGTGTGTGGGTATTCGTGTGAGTGGGTGTGGGGGCTTATGAGGGGGTGTGGGGCTTGTGATGGTGCACAACTCCCTGTGGCTCCCAGTCCACGTGCCATTGGACTAGGTGGGCTCCCTGCCACAACGTGCAGCTCCTGGCTCTCCTTTTGGGAGCTGTGCACCATCGTGTTGGCTGGGCTGGCTCCTGGCACTGCAGCTAGAAGTGCAAGCGGCTGAGCTGGGCCAGGCTGGCTCTGTGCCTCCACATACAGCTCCCTACTGGAGTGCTGGAAACTCCTTGTGGAGGCACAGAGCCGGTCTGGCCCAATGGCGTGTGGCTCCTGCCTGTAGTGCTGGGACCCCACGTGCTGGCACTGAGCCAGTCTGGTCTGGTCCAAAAGCACACACCAGTGAGCTGAGCTGGTTCCACGCTGCCACGTGCAGTTCCTGGGATTCAGGGTGTTTTGCTATGATAGACTGGTGCATCAAGCTGCTGTATGACACTGCATTTTGAATTTAGTGCAAGGAGAGGTTGGGAGAAAAGCAGTGTTGGTGGTTCTAGGTGATAGTGAGAGTGCTGAATGTGCATTTTAAGTCACTGAGGCTTTGGGGAACCAATATCCTGGCCATTTGGCAGTGGTCTGTGTATGCAAGTATTGGCTGTTCTTGCAAGTTGGAGGGAAGGGAGGGGTGGCATATGGATGGCACATTGGCTTGCATCTGTCCATGATAACAGACTCTAGGCACAGCAACATAACCTCCAGATGGTCATGCACTGGCATATGCAGACAGCTAATCCAGGAAGTATGCACTTCTGTACTTCTCATCTGCATCTCTGGTGCTGACCAGCATTGTGCTAAGTTGTAGGCTGGGGGAGAGAAGGAGGTGGTGATTCAGAGAGAGTATTGGGCTCAGGTGACTTCTGGCTCTTTGCCTGTGAATATATCCTGGCCCTTTGGCCATGCAGTCCTCTAGTGCTGATCACAGTCTTTTCAAAGTTTGCCTTTGAAAATCAGCCACAAAATGCACTTTGATCCTGACATCCCCTAAAATGGGCCAGCTCTTCATAATAAGGAACTGGGGTGCAGCTCTGCTGTTAGTGACAGAGCTTCCTGAGTTCATATCCCGTAACTACGTGTAGCCACAGTTAAGGTTCTTGGCGGCTGAGTAGGCGTTGCAAGACATTACACTGCTGCTTTCTGGAATGCTCTGGTTTCATAGATGTCCATGTTTCTGTGATTTTGCTGGACCTTTAGCTATCCTCAGAATGTAAGAAGATGCAGGACCTGCAGATCATACAGAGGAAGGTGGTGTGCTGTGAGGATTTGCTCTTCAGAGCACTTGAGTATCTGGCTGTGTTTTGATATTTAAAGTGAGAGATAACATTTGGTCACTGATCTCAGAATAGTAGAGGTCAGAAAGAGAAGCAGAGTGTCTTGGGCTACGAGTATACAAAGCAGTGTGGGAATGTAATTGGTAAAACAGTTGGCTAAATCAGAGAGAAGCTCTGTCCAAGCAGAAGCTAAGCTGTGACATTTGAAAGTGTTAGGAAATAGCTCTTTATTTGTTCAGGAGCAAATTTGCCACTTGGCAGGGAGGGAGAGAGGTGCTACGTTACTTTTAAGCTTGGCATTATGTATTTTCAGGTTTTTTTAATCCGGTTCCTTCTGATTTCATACGGGTAGTTAATAGTTTATGGTTAATAGTACACTGGTAGTTCTCAACCTTTTTAGATTTGAGGCACCTTGCACAGACTCAAGGCACCCCTCTAAAAATGCCAACTCTCAGTTTTCCCTTATTTTTTGACTACAGAAGAAATAAATAGAGTAATTCTTCTGTTGCACAGAGCTCAGAAAGACTGTAGTACAAGAGAATATTTTTAATTCTATGGATTCCTATTTGAAATCTCTGCATTTATCTTGTGAATTATGTTTGAACACCTAACAGTGTCTAACATTGTATGGTACCCTGAGTATGCAAGTAGTCAACTTTACTGGGATTGCCAGAATATAAGCAGGCAACTACCAAAAGTTAAGCATGTTAACGTGACTCCTCACCGCATCACAGTCTGTCTAGAACTGTTACTCGGAGGCACTTCCTTAATTTGGCTGTATTGGGTGAGCTTCCTGGGTTGCTGTTCCAAGTCTGACGGCTTGGTCTTCCTTTAGAAATCCATGCAGGTGTCTCCCTCAGAAATCCATGCAGGCAATTCAGACAGCAAACAGCGAACAGTGATTTCACTTGTTTAGACTCTTTAACCCTTTAGTGATGTCACCATTACTAAGGCTAGCCAAGCTTGTTAAAAAATACTGTGGAAACTTCATAATAGCACAGCCTGGAATATTTTCCTGTTATTGTCCTGATCCCACACTAATTAGCCCCAGTGATCACCATGTTATCTTCTTAATTTATGGTTCTATTGTTCTGGATGTTCTCTGGCGTTCATTTTATGGTTAACTTCAGGCCACAGTCATGACCAATGCTTAACTGAGTCATCTCGAAGAGGCTTCTGGGAGTTTGGTCAACTTGACATGACCAAATGTGATTTTTCTTGCAACGCCCAGGATACCAGACCACCCTGGTTTTGAATCACCCTTCTACAGTGCAGCTGAGCACAGCAACAGTATTATAAGAAGCGGGATGGTCCCTCAGGTAGCCAAGTTCTTACCAGTCGAAACCAACATCTGTCTGCTACAATGGTTCTTAATGTTTTTTGACTCCAGGAAAAGCTTAGAAAATGCTGGCTCTTAGCTTTCTGTCTCTTTTTGACAATGGAAAAAATAGAGCAATTCTTCTGTTGTAAGGATCCAGAAAGCTCACAATGGGTAAAATGTTTGTTTATGTTACGGAAATTTAAATCTCAATTTGAAATCTCTGGGTGTATCTTGTGTATCATTCATAGGTGTTTACACATCTAACAATCCTAATGTGTGGCACCCTGATGTACCCTTGAAAGGATCTCATGTGCAGCACCCCAGTGTGCTGTGACACCCTGCTTGAGAAACACTAGTTTAGGATAAAGTACTGGAAACATTTTTATTTACTGGGATCCCATCTCTTTCACTGGTTTGGTGCATTGCAAGGTATTTTCAGCCCTAGTGAAATCACACATGGAGCAACAGGGCAGTCATCTTTATTTTACAGAACAGAAATACTTAAACACATGCTTTTCAACCATTGCAGGAGGAAGCAACAGGAGGTTAACACTACCTACTAGCACTGTCTACTGCCTGGAATGTATAGCATAACACTACAAAGCAAGTGCATGTACATTACATACATAGCAAAAACAAAATTATAAGAATTTTGGACTCTAGTAATTTTAACATCCCCTAATTTGGCTGTTTATGCCTTTCTTGTAGAAAGACTTGATCAACTACAACAAATCCCTCATAGTTAGAACAGCTGCCTAAGCCCATGAACTGTTCGTAAATGATGACTTTTCTTGACTTTCCAGATTTACCGCTTTTGTTCTTAACATCCACACCAACTATGAAAGTAATTGAAAAGAAGAATCATTTTTCATTGCCTTGAATTTTTATTAGGTGTTTGTGTGTGTGCTCAATATACCCACAGATACATTTACCAGACTAAAAATCTAAAACATCTCTGCTTCTCTTTTTCATGTGGTAGATGATGTAGCTTACTGGCTATGACACGTACTTGCTAAGGCTGAAAGGTCAGAAATCCACTGATTTGATGTAAATGAGTTAATGTCCTGATCTGCATACTTCAATATTAATTATTTCATAAATTACAGCAAATGCAACATTATGATAAGGCTACAACTTGGCTTGAGCTTTACTAACATATAAATTGTGTGTTATTGCCTGACTGAAATTTCTTCCTTGGTGTTTAGGTAATAATGCTGGCTGCTTAAGGCTCTGTATCTGGTGGGTCTTTTAACTAGTGTGTGTGGATGGCTATAGTTGAATTAATACCCTCTGCTGCTTGTGACTATTTGACCTATGATGGGAAGAGAAGCTGTCTGCCTCACGCCATCAACTGGAATATGTTTTATCTAGGCTGCTAGCCTTTAGCTGGAAACTTGCTCTAATCCCTAAAGGTAGAAACAGATGTCACCTTTGTGTCACCATTAAAACTTTTATGGTGACACAAAATGAAAACAAACTGTATGTTCCATCTTGCTGCAAATACTCATATTTGTGGCTGCAACAGAAGGTGGTAATAAACTGTGCCACTTTATTGTGGCCCACGTCTGTTTGTTTATGGTAGAAGAGCACAGGCAGTGCAAAGCTGCCCATGCTCTTCAGCTGCTCTGGGGTAGGGACTCCACCGACTTGAGAGGCCTGGTTTTGTACACTCAAGAAATTCTGGGGCAGGATCAGGCTTCTCAGGCATTAGGAGCATCTGCCTCACTTTCTGCACTTACCCAGATGAATCCCTCCAGGATGCGTCTGGGTAAGTGGGGAAACTTGGGGCTTTGGCGTGCATGTCTGCAAGCAGGGGTTTACTGTTTGCAGACACAGGACCCGTTCAGCAGTGATATGTGTAGAAGAATCCCTCTGCAGGAGATTTCCCTGCTTATGCCTGTAAGTGCAGAGAAGGGAACTCCCAATGGGGAGGTCCCCTCTCTGCCTTTGCAGCCCATTCCCTGTATTGCTGTCAGAAACACACACTGACCCAGTGCACACTCCTGGCAGCAGCATAGGCTGTAAATGCCCATGGGATTTCCCCTCTCCACAGTTTCAGCTGATGCGGAGAAATCCCCTCCTTACCTGCAGATGTGCATGGGCTCACTTTATCTGCTCTGAGATAAAAAGTTTGTATTATTGACCTCCACCTGGTGTGTACATCTTGCGCCACTGGTTGAGATATCTTATGACTTAAAACAAAAAGGGTAACGATAAGTAGACCGAAGTGCCAGCATACTTAGACACACAATGTTCTTTGGTTAAATGTGATATCTTTTATTAGATTATCTAAGTAGATGGAAAAATTATTCTTTGCTCAAATGCAAAATTCAATATCTTCCATGTTTCAGGGTTGTCGGTAGCATGCATACCTAGAGGGCAACAGCACGTATAAGTGTTTTCATCCTTGAATATATTTCTCATTATCCATCATCTTTTAGTAACCTGAGGACGGTGGTTTTCTATTGTAAAAATATCTTTTTTTGTATATATTAGTGTATACTTAAAATTAAAACCTTTGTGTCAATATCTGTTCTTATCACACTTTTCCTGTGACTTATTCTTTTAGGGCCAAATTCTGTCATGCCTTAAGGCACTGTGGCTCATCCTTTTTGGCAGGACTGCCACAAATGAGCTCCACATCCTCCCCTAGTGCCGCTGATCTTTCTCCTGCTTGATTAGCTGCATTTTCTGTGTCCTGTCCTGTCTGCTGCTCTGCTGCCAGTGCCCATCTTATTCTGTCATGTGCCACACAGACTGCTGGTGCCTCTTGTCGAATGCGTGTAATGTATCCCTTCCTCAAGCCATGAGTATCTGGGTCCTGTGAGTAGGTCAGTTTTTAGTAAGAGTGGCAGAGCTTCTCTAAATAAGTATATCAGAAACTGGCCCTTAATCTGTAAATGTTTCCTCTGTATTTTTCCTTTTTTGATCCGTAAGTTAGAATTTTTTTAAAGAAGAAATAAATGAGGAGGAATACTCTGCACTGGTCTAGACCTGCAGGGAGCAAACCAGGAAGGCCAAGGCTGCGATGGAACTCCAATTAGCTACAAGTATCAAGGACAATAAAAAGTCCTTTTTTAGATATGTGGGGAGCTGGAGGAAAAGCAAGGGCAACATTAGACCCCTGCTAAACCAGATGGGACAACTGACAACCGATGCCCAGGAAAAAGCCAACTTACTAAATGGGTACTTTGTGTCGGTCTTTCACCAGTCCCATGGGACACCCCTGCCCGCTACGGGACAAGGAGGTCCGGGTGAGGGAGATTCCTTACCCCCCATCAATGCTGACCTTGTGAACGAACACCTTGAGAGGCTGGACACCTTCAAGCCAGCCGGCCCTGACAGTTTACACCCCAAGGTACTCAAGGAGCTGGCTAGCATCATAGCTTAGCCCCTGGTATGGATCTTCAAGAACTCCTGGCACCCTGGTGAAGTGCCCGAAGGCTGGAAGAAGGCCAATCTGGTGCCTATTTTCAAGAAAGGGAGAAAAGTGGATCTGGCAAACTATAGGCCCATCAACCTGACCTCTGTCCCAGGGAAGGTCTTAGAAAAGATTATCAAAGAGGCCATTCTTAACAGACTGGCTGATGGCAACATCCTGAGGGATAACCAGAATGGGTTTGTTGTGGGTAGGTCTTGCTTGACCAATCTTATTTCCTTCTACAGCCAGGAGAGCTATCACCTGGACAAAGGAGAAGAGATTGGTGTCATATATCTTGACTTTAAAAAAAGCCTTTGATCTGGTATCCCACGATCACCTCTTAGTAAAACTGGCTAACTGCAGCCTCGGCCACACCACAATCTGCTGGCTGGGGAATTGGCTCTGTGGTAGGACCCAGAGGGTGGTGGTTGATAAAAGTCAATCGTTGTGGTGCCCTGTGACCAGTTGGGTCCCCCAATGCTCTGTCCTTGGGCCTATACTATTTAACATCTTCATTAATGATGTGGACATTGGTATCAGAAGTGGACTGGCCAAGTTCGCTGATGACACCAAACTCTGGGGTAAAGCGTCCACACCTGAGGACAGGAGGGTGATCCAGGCTGACCTTGACAGGCTCAGGAAATGGGTGGATGAGAACCCGATGGTGTTTAACACTGAAAAATGCAAGATTCTCCACCTTTGGAAGAAAAACCTGCAGCGTGCTTATAGGCTTGGCAGTGGTATGCTGGCTAGCACTACAGATGAAAGGGACTTGGGGGTCATGATTGACACAAGATGAACATGAGCCTTCAGTGTGATGCTGCTGCTAGTAAAGCAAGCTAAACGCTTGCTTGGATCCACAGATGCTTCTCAAGCAAATCCCAGGACATCATTCTCCCATTGTATTCGGCCTTGGTGAGGCCACAGCTGGAGTACTGCGTCCAGTTTTGGGCTCCACCATTCAAAAATGATGTGGAGAAGCTTGAGAGGGTGCAGAGGAGAGCCACGCGCATGATCAGAGGTCAAGAAATGGAGAGAGGCTGAGAGCCATGGGACTCTTCAGCCTAGAAAAGCACAGGCTCAGGGGTGATCTGGTGGCCACCTATAAGTTTAGCGGGGTGATTACCAGGATCCGGGGGAAAGTCTGTTCACCAGAGCGTCCCAAGGGATGACAAGATTGAACGGTCACAAAATCCTCCATGACCGTTTCAGGCTGGACATAAGGAAGAACTTCTTTACTGTCCGAGCCCCCCAGGTTTGGAATAGATTGCCGCTGGAGGTGGTTCAAGCACCTACTCTGAAGGCCTTCAAGAGACATTTGGATGTTTATCTTGCTGGGATCCTATGATCCCTGCTGACTTCCTGCCCCTGGGACAGGGGGCTGGACTTGATTATCTTCCAAGGTCCCTTCCAACCCTAATGTTTATGAAATCTATAATAATCCATAACAAAGAAATCCTTATAGTTTAAGTAATACTATTTGAGTGCTTGGCTTAAAATAGTATGCAGAAAGGAGACTTGTTCTGTTTTATTTTATGTTATTCATGAGTATCATACCGTCTCTAGAGAGGTTAAAGTAAACTGCAAAATTGACTGTAGCAAGAGATTATAAGGGTGAGTAACTCAGGACTCCAGTTGACAGTTTAAAAAAAAATCTTTAACGAAAATGCTGATCTGATATTTTCTAGCACTACTCTCACTGGAAAATGTAGTGTCTCATGGATATGTATCTCTATATTTTTCCTTCCTTTCATAATCTGAGGTGAGGAAATGGAGGAAAATCAGTAATTCTAAGTAAAGCAACTTTCAGCAAAAGAGTTTTATGACATTCTTATATGGAATAGGTATATGTATTTCTTTAACTCTACTGTGATAGAGTTTTTGATTGGGAATTAAAATAAGCCCTAGTTCAGGTTTCTATGGTGGTGATAGCCCATACACAACACACAAACCATAAATTAAACCACACGCTGGGTGCATCTACATGTGTACTTTAATGTGTAGTACTTTATTTTATTGCGCATTAAAGCATCATGTAAAACATGCTATTATGCTAATGTGCAGTAAAATAGGCTACTGTGCATTAAATGTCACATAAAAAGTGTGCGTTTGTGCTACTGTGTGTTAGGGCAGCCTAATATGCATTACTTAGTACGTCAGGGCACTTTTACATATGCTCTGGGAGTAGGAGGATCGTGCTTTAATTAGAGAGGCTCTGAGAGCCTCTGAAGGACAGGCCACACAAGGAGATGCTGAAGGACATGGGACTGTTCAGCTTGGAGAAGAGAAGACTTAGTGGGGCTTAGTGGCAGCCTGTAAGTAAATAAGAAGCAGACATCAGGGGCTGGGAGAGCATCTGTTAACCAAGGCACCCCAGGGGAAGACGAGGAATACTGGATGTAAACTGCCAGACGACTGCTTCAGAGTGGACATAAGGAAAAAATTCTCTACGGTTTGTGTGGCCAGAGTCTGGAACAAACTTCTCCCAGAGGTGGCATAGTTACCTACCCTGGAGATCTTCAAAAGACGACTGAATGCACACCTTGCTGCAGTCATCTGACTCCAGCAGTCTTTTCTTTCCTGCCTCAGAGCAGGGGGGCTGGACTGGATGATCTCATGAGGTCCTTTCCAGTTCCTAACTTTTATGAATCTATGAAACTAAAGCTCGTTTGATGAGCTTTAGTTCAAGCACCCCTGCTGCCATTTTGAAGCGCAGGGATGCTGATATGTGAGATGCGGGAGTCTGCTGGAGCGTGGTAATTACCACGCTCCAGCAGACTCGGTTAATTGAGTCTGCTGTAGCGTGCTGTAATTACAGCATTTTGAAACAGCCTCCGTGATTGTTGGCAGGCATCCTCACATTGGAAGTACTAAATGTAATGTGCATTAGGAAAAGTATATTAATGAATGTGTAGAGGCTGCCCAATTGTACTTTGCCTTACCTGTGTGTTTGGAACAAAGCAACTATAGTAAAAGCTCTGTTATCCGGCATCCCCCAGATAAAATATGTCGGTTAATTGAGCAGCCCTGGCTGCTGCTTCTCCCGCCACATCCCACTGCCCCTTCCACCCCTCCCACTGTATCACTGCCCCTCTCGCTGCACTGCTGCTCCCGTGGTCCCTGCAGGCCCTGTGGGACAGGGAGGTGGGCCCCACACAGCCTGTTATGCCCCCATGCCATGGGGACTCAGCAGCACAGGTTGCTTTGCCCTGGGCCGTGGGGGCTCGGAGAAACCGGAAGTGCCACAGTTGGCACTTCCGGTTTCACTTTTCCTTACAAGCCGGCATGCCAGTTAACAGAGCATGCTGGCTTGTAAGGTGCCAGTTACCAGAGAATTTACTGTAATA